AATCTTTATCTTAAGTCTCAATTGAAAATTGACAGTAAACATTCACTACAATTCGAACATTTTTAAAGACAATAACAACAATCAATTAGGAAAGACAAAAAACGAACTTTTTACTTAGAATGATAATCTTATACATAATAACTTAACAAAACACATAGATGGTTTGATAAGACTGATATATACACTACATAAAGAAAAAAAGAGAAGAAGAGCTGAACAAGTATCATCACAGTTATGATGAGAATTGAAGAAAAAGAATGACTACTTGGAGATTTTAATTAATTAATTTTATGAACAACGTGTGATCACTTACAAATAGATGTTTATTAAAACAAATGAACATACCGAACACTAGAACAAGAAAAAGGTTAATAATATTGTTATAACGAGGTGCATATTGATGACAAAGAAACTTTTGGGATTATTTCACAAATTATTATTATTTACACTTTTATGATAATTTTTAGAAAAATAATTCATTGTATTGCTATAGTCTCTAAATTGTAGTTTCATCGCATCCATTAACTATCTTTTACAACTCATTACTCATTAAATATCGTTTATTAATTATGCACCGTTTGTTTGATTTCCGGCATGATTGTATGTAAAATGCTATTTTATATTTAAAGCGTCTTACTTACCTACGCCTTTTACGCCTTATAGAGGAACACAGGCCGCCGCAATAGCATTCTACACACAACTATGTGCTGGGCAATCCTTTCCAGTTGCTAACCATACTGTTCATGCCTACTTCCGATTCCCGACGTAGTGTGCTTTTCAGCCTTCCTCTTTTTAACTGCCCTTCAACAGTTCAAGTTAGGCCTTGCCTCGTGATACAGATTGGTGATTTCCGTAATGTATTTCCTATTCACTTCTAACGTCGTTTCCTAATTTCCTCTTCAGCTGGAAGCTGATTTGTTCTTCATAGTAGTTCCTTCTTCCTTGAGTAGATCTTGTAAGGCTTGGAACCTGTATTTATTATTTATTTTATTTTAACACATAGAAATTGGTACAAGGAGGCACCAAATACATATGCGCCACACAAACGTGATTTGATATGTGTGAGGGCTGTGATACTGCCCGGGTGCCCAAACCGAAGCAGGCTTTGAACCTGTTGTTGGAAGTTATCTTGAATTCATCGAGTTTTTCAGTATTTCGAAGTAGCGCTATATTGAACCTCTGTAATGTTGTTTACCCAGCTGTCTAGTGTTTCTCAACTTCATTTTCATCTTGGCAACCATCAGGTTGTGATCTGAAACTATGTCAGTCCCTCTCCTAGTTCTCACTTCTTCCATTGACCTTCTGAATTTCCTAGTGATGCAAATATGATCTATCTGGTTCTCGGTGGTGTGGTTCAATGAGACTTATGTAGATTTGTGTATGCGTTTGTGTGGAAATATTGTGCCGCCTATAACTAAATCGTTGAATGCACATAAATTTGCAAACCTCTCGCCATTCTTGTACGTTTCTCGCGGTCAGTCCATATCGGCTCGTGATATTTTCATAGTCGGTATTGTCCATTCCGAATTCGATGTTTAGGTCTCTCATCAGGATGGTCAAACCCTTTCATCGGCACTTCTCTACGATCGACTGGAGCTTCTAATAAAATTGATCTTTATCACTTTCATTGCTATCGTTGACAGGTGCATAACACTGCATAAAATTCATTGTGATTCCATCCTTCTTTGTTTTAAAGAATGCTTTTATGATCTTCGATCCACGAGATTCCCATCCTATGAGTGCTTTTCGTGCTTCCTTGGATAGCATCAGAGTGACTCTCTGTATGTGTTAAGCACTTTTTTTCATGACAAGAGTACAACAAAATCTCTTTCGAATCTAATATTTGCTGTCCAGCCTAGGTTCCGTGGGTTTCACTGAATCCGAGAACCGCCAAGTTGAATCTGCTCATTTCCGTTGCTATTTGACTGGTCCTTCCAGTCATCCACATTGACTGGAGATTCCATGTATCGATATTAAATGTTACTCTGGTTGTTAGAAGGGGCATCAACGTCATGATTTCTGAAGAATCTCGGCTTTCATCGTAAGGTGTTAAAATCCTTTTTTCAACTCCCAGGGCAGAGTTTAAATTGTTTGTTCTGGTTGGCGTTTTTTTAGCAATGTTGTTTTCTACAGGATAGGGCTTCCGACCCCACTGTCAAATCCTGCACCTTTGCCCGAGCTTGGGTCCGGTTTTATCCCTAGAAGAGCCACAGGTGGAAATTTAAAGCGTGTTACGATCTGTTAATTCATGTACCTAAAGTAATGAGTGTTTGGGTAAAATATACTGAGTGTCTGAAACATAATAATGAAAGATTGTCAACTGTGTTCTCTTATCGGACTCAAGACTGGGAAGAGATAGAAGCGCTTATACTCGCGATCTAATAAGAATCAACATTATCTTATCAGTCACTGAAGTTATTAGTGCTAGCCTAGACGTCTCATTGGTCAAGCTACGTAACCAGTCGAAAGACGGATCAGCATAGTCGAACACGAGAAGAATAAATTAAGATCTCTATTGACGTGTATTCCCCCGAGCTATCGACTAAAAGAGTGCAAGCCAGTGAGTAGTTATAACAAATACATTACTAATGATTGATAAGAATGGTATGTACTGTTGAACAAATAAGAGAGTAAAAAACCATATTTAAGTGAATGCATCCTCTCTGGTTTGATTACTACTAAAAATACCATTAAACTTAATTTCAATACGATATATTAGCTCAAGTACAAAATAAAAGACAATCAATTTGAATCGGTTCACCAATTTTTCTCAGTTATTGTCGGTTAATTAAAAATTTTCTCTTATTTTAACAATTAGCGTAATTAACAAACTAACACACATACACAGAGAATTGGCCTTTATATTAAACGTGTACAGTATGTTATGACAGTTTCTGTCATAAATCACTTAGATTGTGAGTTTCATATCATAAGCTTTAGTATTATTAGTGTCATTACCATGATTGAATATGTGACTGTTACTTTTTCTCTTTTTACGACCCGGCTGCTCTTATTGTTCAGTAATCTTGATCACTACTCCACTCTACAAGCCCCGAAATCAGAACACGGTTGAACACGAACATGATTATGTTCCAAATAACAAGAATGGATGAAAGTGGGAATCTGCTATAACTTGTGGACTGCATGCCTTGTTAATGTATAACGTAACGATACCGCCAATTAGAGACTAGTGAATTATCGATCGGATCAATGACGCGTAAACCCGTATGAGCAGCCTAGACTCCTGATTGGTCGTGCTTCCGCCTAGCCCAGCCAGTTAAGTCCAGAACACAAATCCGAGCCTTTGCGATGTGAATCATTATATACCAACCAGACAGACCACATCGTACCATAAAATCGAAAACAACATTTGTACAAGATTTGGTCAAATGTGGCTGTCAATATGGGAGATAGTAATTAATAGACAGGGTCTAATTCAAGAATGGTAAATCGTACATTAATAGTTCATAGGTCGAAATAAAGCTTATAATAAGAAGAATATGAATATGAATAGTTTAGTTATTTAATAGTTATACGATAAAAATGTACGTTTGGTGTTTGTCCATAAATGGATCCCAAAGTTACCATTCACAATACTTATCAGGACCTCAACAGAATCACTATAAGAAAAACGTCAGTATATTTCTAATTTTTACATAAAAAGATTCTACAATTTTCTCCAAGTATCCACAAGCACTGATTAATTAAACAATATCCAATCAGCGTGCACCAACATAATCCTTCATGGAACATGATTTAATCTAATATAGGTCCCGCTAACAGTAACGAGTAACCGAAACTACTACTACTACTTATATTGACATAAGTAATAGATGACGTTAGTTGTGAACGCAAGGTCTGGTAGCAGAGAGACAATAGGATCGAAAAGTAAAGAATGGAAACAGGATGCAATTTGTATGAAAATGCAAGAACAATGAAGTCTGAGTCATTTTGAGACAATTGGTGGACATTTTGCAAATTAAGCATTTACTTTATGATTGTTAGATTTTATTAACAAGTCCTGTAATTTTGTGTTAAATACATTCGATTGTCTCCACTCGTGTTCTGTTCACTACACTATGACAAGCAACTGAAATGATAGTCAAATGAATGTGTATATTTTTAGAATGAAATTAACAATTTTCTACTCTATAATATTAAAATACAACTGACTTCAACTAATTGGTTGTCAGTTAAATTCTAGAACACTTTCATTTCTAAAATTACCACTAAATATCAGCATCAATTGAGGGTTGATAATACGCATACGTTGAGGAGAGAGAGAGAGTCAGTCAATAACAACGTAGAATTTCGTATGTACGTACATCAGTTCGAGTTGCCATACCACATTAGCACAAGAGAGGAAGAAGGAAAGATGAGATGAAATTTTAAATTACTGGAAGAACAAAAATAAAAAAACACTTTAACTATACTTAATAATCTAATACAAATGATGAAGAAATATCTTTTTCAAAGAATGATCTCAGTGTTATTTATATAAACAACACTACTGTTTATATTTCTGTTTAGATAACCTTGAAATACAGATAAGCAAAGTGTTGATTAAAAAGGATAATTAACGTTCATTGACCAATAGAAGAAACGAATGAAAATAAAGCAAGATTTATCGTTTTTTAACTAAGATTCAGCACGACATAAAAACGTAGTTTGGCACATTTTCGTTGATGTTAAGTACTATAAATGTCCCGTTTCTATTGATATGTGTGATTCCTGAGAAAATTGCCTTGATATTGGCAATGATTGTCTGGAATCCGTAGCTTCGTGAGTAACGCATTAGCGTTTGAGGAGAAAGGCATTAGGTTTGAGTATGTGTGGATACCAATATTAGGGATCCAGGAGTATCTAGTTTACTAGTCCTAAATATGATGAAATACGCATCCTGTAATTCATTGCTAGCCACTAATCAATTATAGTACAAACGTAATAGTAAAAAAATATTAAATTGATTCTTCCTAACAATTTCTAAAAATATAACTTACAGGATTTGTTAGTCTATTCAAAATAGAATTGATTGTTTTCAAAAACATTGCAGCATCTTCTTGTTCCGGAAAATGTAAACCATATACTCTAGAAGTGATTGGATCACGCCATTCATGAAATTGACCATGTATTTGATACTCGAGTCCAGCTTTTAACACTGAATTAACAACAACCTAAGAGATAAAAAAGAACAACAATAATAGAGAGATGAGAATGTCGATAGATAAGAAAAAGTTGATAAGACATGAAATAAAACTCGTTCAGTATTTTTTATTGTAGATCATATGCAAAAAGAAACGAGATACCATAATCGAGACTCAGCTTGAAACATTGAGTAAAGGTAACTATTTGAAAGTTAAATTAAAGTATTATGCGAATCCTTTGTTAAAAGAATGTATGAGAACGTTATATATAGATTGAATTTCGCAAATTATTTACAGTTGATTTGAGATACACATCGATAACCATCTAATCTCATTAGTGATCAGTGTTTAGTTCCCAGAGTCTCTTAAAACTACGAGTCACTATTCCTTACTAGAACTACATGAACATATTCAAGTAAGTTAATAGAGAGCTGACCGTTACAGTTAAGTTGAAGAGTTTTCGTGGAAGTCTGTTTAATTTATATTCACCATAGATAGATCTAAGCTAAGGGACCACTAGAAAGCCAACAGAAGTCGATATATGTTTCATCCTACCATACAACTGCCTGGTACTGAGCACCATGACACCACCAGGGATCGACCTCAGGCCATTCAGGTCTTGTGGTGAGCATCCAACCATCCCAATTCGGGTTGGCTTCCAGATGTACAGTCTTAACCTCAATTGATTCGCATTAAAAAAGGGACATTCATCCAACGCCATATTGTTGACAACGGTTTCAATTCCGATATATCCAGTGATATTTTAACTAAGATCAGTCTAAGATGAGTGTAGATGACAAATCAAATCAAACTCCATGAAAACCTTTTAGCTAAATTATCTACACATAAATTTTTAATGGGGTCCATGATTTGTCTGAGAGCCTAGTTTCACTGTTTTTAAAGGAAAAAAGACAATTAAAACTAAAATGATTAAAGGTGAACCACACTGGCAAGAGAAACGATGAAACGGTCGAATTTCTATTGTTAAAATTTAGAACCGATTAACAGTTAATATCTTTAATAACTATGATGAAAGTCGCCTAAGTAACTATGTTCGAAATAATGTAGCCCACTGTAGATCAAGTAGTTTAAATGGTTACAATACGCAGATTTCAACCACGAAATCACTGGTTTGAGTTCTGGCCCTATTTACTCACTTTGGACAACCGGATGGAATAACATAAAAGAAATACCTCAAGGCTATTATATATAAACTTATTAGTTAGCAAATGAACTGAAATATTAAATCATAAACTACTAGAGACTTTATTGAACAAAACCAAACAATCTTACATGCAAGATATAGTCGATTTATTAAGAGCTGAGTAACTAGATTATTAGATTACATCATTACTACGTGATTTTTAACACGTTGTTTGACTTTTACAGTCAGTTTTCTGACAAAATAAGAATGATAACTACAAAATAACAAATATATCAACCAACTATTTTATTTATTAGAATACATAAAACAGGAGTTGGTGCATAGATCAGAAAATGTAATGATATCTGCATGATTAAGTTCGGAAATTCTAATCATGACTAAACACCTTTGATTGCGAATTCTACCATAGTTACTTCAGCTGGAAAAATTCTGAGAACTAAGAAGCGCTAAATAAATGCCTCGTACAATTTTAAAGCTACTTGGTTGTACGGACTTAGTGGAGATCATACTAGCAGCAACCAATCAACGGTTATAGTTAACACAGAGCCTAGAATGTGTCAGGTTAAGTTGCTATACTATCATCAGGGGGTTGTTGAAGATATTCGATAATCATTACAATACTTTGGTTGTTTAGTATTTGGCAGTTTCACACACTCAGTTTACATTTGTAAGCAATCAGAAACAATGAGGTCTAGTAAAGTGAAACTTATTTGTACTATTATTATTATGTGATGAATACTGATAATACCATGATGCAAAGAAAAGAACTAGATACAAATTCAGGGTTCATTACAATAACTCAGTGGCTGATAATGAAATATCCAGGCCATAATGCGAAACTCTATGACAGAGATAATTCGAATGTGTATACAAAAAAAACAATCAGTAGTGGGTGAATAGTCTAAACCATAAAATTGTTGGTTCGAAAATTCAAACTTATTGCGCCTACTATAGTCTAGGTTGTATGATAGAATTACTATTCTTCGTTGTATAATGTCATTAGGTTATTTGATACAGATTTTAAGACTCCGAATTTCATCCTTGACTGGGTCGTGAGTGAGCATTGTTGAAGAGTTTCAAATTAAGATTGAAGAGATAACCAATATTTCCTGGTTTTCACTTGTTCATCAGTTAATATAAAACTGTAACACAAATCAATTTAAATTTATTCTATATGAATTTATAGCGTCTTTAGATGGGTTTTTTCAATAAGCTAACACTTAGTCCGAGTTCAAAAATTCCATTCTAAAAATTTGGAATATACACAAAGACAAAAAGTCTTGAAGTTATGAATGATTACAACATTTTTCTTGTTATTGGGAATAACATTTTGCATTTTCTATGGTAAAATAAACTAAGCACTATTGAACTGCATGGACAAACTGTACATTTAATCAGTAGAACAACAGCTATGAGTGTTATTCAATGTTACCAAACAAACTTAATGTCAAATATTATCAAGATTCTACAAAGTAATTCAAAATAATAAGTTGAATACAAAGTCAAGGGTACGTGTAAATTCAAAAAAGTGTAATGTTATACAAAAGATAAAATATTTGAAAATGTTAATTAACTGGCAAGTGGTAGATGCAGACTATTTGGTTGGAGTGCACGTAACTAATGTATCCAATTGTTGGAGACTCTGGGTGACATGGTTCAGAATCAATCACAATGGCGTAGGTGTATACACTCTTTGCCTTTCTTTAAACTATGAGATTAAAATCGCTTCATATCTTTCTTTCTATGAACTAATTCTTTCTTCCTCATATGCAATCTTTCTTTTATACATTACTACCATTGAAGTGACTACTTTGATGAATTTGGTTTTCGTCTTGTTGTACTAATGAAGTGTGGGGACTTGTGTCGATGCATATATATGCCTAGTCCTACGTTGTAGCTGACTAAACTGGCAAGTGTTTACTTTTACAGTTAGAGAAATGGAACAAATTAGTGAGAAGAATTAATGATAATTATTTATTATAAATATTGACATCTCGGGGAGACTCTAATTTATGGACGACCTTTGAACGAATCTTACGTGACCAATCAGAAAAGTCAGTATAGAGTAAAAATATGTTATACAAAACCAAGGAAATAAAGTGGATACACTTCTTATACGTGGTTCAAAAACTTGTCAAGCTTAGAAAAAGGTTTAGAGGTTCTAAAGTCGTAATCCATGCAGTAGAGGAAATCATCCATACGGCTACAGAATAGTCCGCCTCTGGAGTCATGATAAAGTCTCAAAAACTCAGCCTCGACCACATAGCTTCAATATTGTTTATGTGCACACCGGTTGATGCTACTTGTGGATAACGACACGATGCACATAACCAAGCCTATGTAGGAGTCTGTACGCTCCCCAATCATCCGTATATATATTGTAGTACCTGGCTGCAGCCAGTGTTACTGGTGCTTTTATTATCCAGTTCGCAATAATTGTCATAATTTGCCTTAGGAATTATATATGGGGTTTCATCACGAACTGACATCAGCTATAATGCCACAAATTTTATTTAGCCAAATGGATGAAAGGCTTTCGCGTTAAGACCCGAGATCAATTATCTTATACCTGATTGATTCGTCCATAAATTATAGTCTCGCCGTTTTATTTGTTATAGCCGCTCAATTATCACGTTTTGTATAAAATCCCCTGTGAACCGATCGTACGTTAGCATTAAGCACTGAAGTTGGCGCCATAACCTTGAAATCTCTAAAACGCCTCTAATTGGCTCGTTCATAAATTAGTCTCGCCGACATCTCTCTATAGAAATACATTAACATTATAAACCAATTCTGAAAATATCACTTTTTCCTAAATACCATTTACAATCGATTATAAACATCCTAAATGTGCAAATATATGGATATTCAAAACAAAAAAACCCGTTTTCTTTATAAAAAAAAAGGAAATTACACCATTACTGGTAATATAGCAATAATAATTAACAACATAAATATATTATTAACTTGATTACATCATAAATGGAATTGTTTATATTACATGATTTGGTAAACTAAAGTTTAACTAGCATACACAGTAACATTAATTTTTCTCAATAAATGAACAACTGAAACAAATTGGTCAATACTATATTTATTCACAAATTAACCTATAAGAGAGAGTACAAAACCACGTTAACCATGTTCACAAACATCCTGATAAAGTTAATTTTTATAATGTAATATGGGAATTCTGTTGTCGTAGGTGACTCGAACTATTAACGGTTTCGTTTCATTTATTCCTATAACTATCCTTAACTAACCAAATATGTTCTCAGTTTGCGCAACGATACTCGATGATAAGACAGGCAATCAAAGTTGACAGAATACAAAAGGATGGTCTACATAATTTAATAGATGACCTAAAAGACATTCTTCAAGAATTTGGATGCAACAGAGGAATTGATCATGTCGTTGGTTGGTAAACAATTAATCCTATAAATTTTAACTTGTTTGACTGATTGTAAATATTAGGTAGGTGTTATTCTTGAGGTCGAAATTCGTCAGAAGATTTTCACCAACCACCTAACCTACCAGCCTGAAAGCTGTCACAAATCAGGACAGAATGTATAGCTATTTTGTTTTAGTTTATAACAGGTCAGTAGCCCTCCAAAATGGTCAGTGATAATGTATCACCATCAATCCTTTATAATTCAAGGTACGCCATGTGAACGAGTACAAAATAGGACGAAACCTGGGTCCTGAGTTTCCCACCAACCATCTCTAATCAACCCAACACCTTAACATAGTAAACGTAATATCGAGTCATTCAGACTAGTGGTTTGGAGATTAAATGTAATATGTACCACAAGTTCATACAGCATCGAATCCATGATTTCTAAGCGTCTTGTGGAATGATAGCCCT